ACGGCTAGGGGCGGGCTCAAACGGCCAGGGGGCCTGCGAGGAGCGGGCGCGAAACGGTCAGGGCGCCGGCTTGGAGGGGCTCGACGACCAGGGGGCCGGCTAGGGACGGGCGCGAACGGCCAGGGCGCCGGCTAGGAGGGGCTCGACGGCCAGGGGGGCGGCTAGGGACGGGCGCGAACGGCCAGGGGGCTGGCTAGGGGCGAGCACGATGGTCAGGGGGGCCGGCTAGGAGCGATCGCGACGGCCAGGGGGCCGGCTAGGGGCGAGCGCGACGGTCACGGGGGCCGGCTAGGAGCGATCGCGACGGGCAGGGGGCCGGCTAGGAGCGGGTGCGACGACCAGGGGGCCAGCTAGAGACGGGCGCGATGGCTAGGGGGCCGGCTAAGGGCGAGCGTGACAGCCAGGGGGCCAGCTAGGGGCGGGCGCGAACGGTCAGGGGTCGGCTAGGGACGGGCGCGACGGTCAGGGGGCCGGCTAGGAGCGATCGCGACGGTCAGGGGGCTGGCTAGAAGCGGGCGCGACGGCCAGGGAGCCAGCTAGAGACGGGCGCGACGGCCAGGGGGCCGGCTAGGGACGAGCGCCATGGCTAGGGGCCGGCTAGGGACAGGCGCGAACGATCAGGGGGCCGGCTAGGGACGAGCGCGAACAGCCAGGGGGCCGGCTAGGGACGGGCGCGAACGGCCAGGGGGCCGTCTAGGGACAGGCGCGAACGGCCAGGGGGCCGGCTAGGAACGTAGGGGCGGAAGCGTGAGCGGGCTAGGGGGGGATCTAACCTACTCTGATACCATATCATAAAGAAAATGATTGAACTAGAATGTGTGTGTACAAGGATATATAGACTAGGGTCTTGTACCCTCTAAGGCACAATCCAGTATAGTCTACAGTAACAACCTAAGTTACATTTGACAGAAGAGACTCAGCATCTGCGGCTGGAACTAGGGGTGGTGCAGGGGAGGTGGCGTGGCGTCAGCAAGGCGCCGTGGCTGACACGGCGCTGGCTGATGTGCGGGCGACCTGGCTGCGCCTAAAACGTTGCGGGGCCCGCTGCTGCCTGACGACAGCGCCATGGTAGCATGACGACGCAGCGCGGCGTCGATGCTGCCCGACGACGCCGCCATGGCAGCATGACGACGCTGCCACAGCGCGGCGTCAATGCCGCGGCGGCACGTCGACGATGCCACGGCAGCACGACGACGTCGCCACGACGTGGCGTCGACGCCACGGCAGCGCGTCGGGCAGGGCTTATCTTTGGTTTTTCACCACTCTGATTTTCACGAGTGACTCCTGGCCAAACTCTGATTTTCAGAGTGCCCTGGAGCTCGAACTCTGATTTGTCAGGTTTTTTTCACACTTTTCAAATAAAAACTCTGATGCCCAGGATTCACTCCCCACGACTATTTCGCAACGTGGTGCTTTATCCCAGAAGACTGCCAAATCGCACCATACTTTTTTTCTAGGCGCGTGCCATATACACAACCCCTACAATTCCGTGCCCAAGACTTGTGCTGAATGAACGCTGAAAAGTGTAGCTTTATAGAGATTTGGGCCGAAATCTGCCCAGTACAGTTGGCTGGAAACTGGGATGTCTCGGCCGGGTTCTGCCAAAAAAATCATCCAGGCTCTGCTTCGAAATACTTCGACTGGGCACGTTCCGTACTCGGGGAGTCCCTAGGCAGGACTTCGGGGCATCAGTTTGACGGACCAGATGACCCAAAGTGCTGGCTTAGGGGATCTCGCCGTACCTATATTTGATGCCCCGAATTCTTCCCTTGGGGCTCGCCTCAGGTACAAAACGCGTCCTCAGTCAGCACTGCATCTCGCGCTCGCAGGCATTTCGCGTGGGAATAACAACAGCCAATCCTGTCTGCCTGTGAGTGAAGTACAGAAACAATACGCCAATGATTGGCTGGCGCATGTGCTGTACCAATCGCCTTTGCTGCAATGTTTACGTGTCAACCCCGTGCCAAGTTACACACGTGAAATGTAGCATGATTGACGGTAAGGGCTAGTCAAACAGCACTGAACACAGCTGGGCTAGGTTGGGTTGGGTGTGGGAAGGAGGAATGTGCCTGGGTTGCGTGGGGTATAAGTGTGTTGTGACTGGTTACAGAGGACTTAGCCGAAATTTTCCAGGTTACGGCGGGTATGAGGCGGGATGTGACCAGTTGCGAAGGACTTAGTCAAAATTATCCAGGGTACGTGGGGTATGGGAGGGGTGTGACTGGCAGTCGGAGGACTTAGCCGAATACCGAGAGAACAGGGAAAAATCTAGGAGCATCCCCCCCATTGAAAACTCTTCAGGGTGGTAAATAGGCCAACTCTGATAAATCAGAGAAAACTTGGGCTTCCGATTCCTGGAACTTGGGCAAGTGTGGAAGAGATGGGTGGAGAGAGGGAGTGGGGGAAATCAGCAAGTAAGGGAGGGTGGGTACCCCCATCCCATGGTGCAACGAGGCATCAGCTGGATGTGGATCGGATGTGCGACAGAAGAGTAGCGCATTGGAGGGGGGTGGGCGGGAGTGAGGGAAAAGGATCAAGAAATCTATAACACCACACGAGTATGCTAGTGAGGTGCGGCGTTTACACACACTTACAGCAGGAAGTGTAGAATGGGAAGTGAGAAGGAAGGCGGGGTGAGCAGGGCCTGTAGTGCGAATAGGGAGTGGGGGGAGGGCAGAGAGCGTTGTCAGCACGTCGTCAAAGGCGTTCCGCTTGCAAGGGGAGTGGGTGTGGAACACACGCAGCTTGAGCTGAAGGGGGGGTGGGATGAGCAGGAAGGGGAGCTGGGGTGGGGAATGGGGGAGAGGGACGAGCAGGAAGGGGAGCTGGGGTGGGGAATGGGGGAGAGGGATGAGCAGGAAGGGGAGCTGGGGTGGGGAATGGGGGAGAGGGATGAGCAGGAAGGGGAGCTGGGGTGGGGAATGGGGGAGAGGGATGAGCAGGAAGGGGAGCTGGGGTGGGGAATGGGGGAGAGGGATGAGCAGGAAGGGGAGCTGGGGTGGGGAATGGGGGAGAGGGATGAGCAGGAAGGGGAGCTGGGGTGGGGAATGGGGGAGAGGGATGAGCAGGAAGGGGAGCTGGGGTGGGGAATGGGGGAGAGGGATGAGCAGGAAGGGGAGCTGGGGTGGGGAATGGGGGAGAGGGATGAGCAGGAAGGGGAGCTGGGGTGGGGAATGGGGGAGAGGGATGAGCAGGAAGGGGAGCTGGGGTGGGGAATGGGGGAGAGGGATGAGCAGGAAGGGGAGCTGGGGTGGGGAATGGGGGGCGCAGACGAGCGTCGCTAAAGCGCTTTGGGGGTCAAGGAGGGGGGGAAGCTGGGGGGGTAAGAGAGGAACGCCAGCAAGGGACCCGTGTCGGGAAGAGACCTGCTTAGGGGGGAAAGCGGGGGGGGACGTGGGGAAAGCGGGGGGGAGTCGTGGGGAAAGCGGGGGGAGACGTGGGGAAAGCGGGGGGGAGCCGTGGGGAAAGCGAGGGGGAGCCGTGGGGGAAGAGAGGGGGAGCCGTGGGGGAAGAGAGGGGGAGCCGTGGGGGAAGAGAGTGGGAGCCGTGGGGGAAGAGAGGGGAAGCCGTGGGGGAAGAGAGGAGGCCTGAGTGTCATTAGAGAGGGAGCTGTGAGGAACGGGAAAGGGCAGGAATTCGCTACCCCAAGGGCCGTGAGGGGGGCAGGGTGGTTCACCCAAGTTTTCCGCGTCCGGTTTTGCGGGTACCTGCTTGCCTCGTCTCCCGTGCTCGCAAGCTCCTACACCTTTGTCTGAATGCGCAGTATTTTGCGGCTCACCTGGCATCATTCGCAGAGTCGGTGGTGTGAGGCTACGACGTGGGTCGAGGCCTCGCACGGTCCCACCGTGGCATGGTGGTCAAGGAAGGTTGTGTGGGCGGTTCCGAGCCGCCCGCGACTCCGTCTGCAGAGGGGGGGTGAAGGGGGGCAGGGGGTGATGTGCGGCAGGGACGGTCGAAATATGATGCAGGGTTTGCGGGGCGCGTGCGGTGTCCGTTGCGCAACTCGTCCTACCCCTCGGGATCACAGCTGTAGTGTGCCACGCATTCCCCCTCGCCTTCCGCGCGATTCCTCCCTTCGCGCATTCCGCGTCCAGTATCAGTGTACCGTGTGCCCCAAGCGATCTTCGCTTTTTCGTAGGCGGAATCCGTCGCGCTCGCCACATCATCTCTCACGCTTTCGACCAGGGTATCACGGTATTCCCCGGGTCCTTTAGGCCTACGTATACATCGTCGCGCCCGGGATTTTGTTTTCGCTGTTTACCCTGCGTGATAATAAGTACGGTTCTAACCAAGCTGCGAAAGGCACCAGATTGCTAAACCTGTTAGGGTTCGGCTTGCACGATCCGCCACGATGTTCTATCCTGACTCGCCCTTGGTGTCGCGGTTGGCGTGAGGACGCTCAGAGTCTTTCTCGCTTCCTTGAGTGTGTCTGGCTGCATTCCGCGTAGGTTCTTTCTTGACAGCGGTAAGAACCATAACAGGCAGGCCTGGGATTTATGTGTAGCGTGTGTGGTCCTGTTTGCAGTTTCTGGGTTGCTGGTACGGGGAGATTCGGACTCGGCTTGGAGATTGTTTGGTTCGGTTCGGTTTCCCAAACTTCCTCGTTACGTTGGGTGGACAAGGCGAATTTTGGGCTGATCGCTGCCATCGTTTTCCCTCACTTTTTGTTTCGCCCCTCGCCTTCCAATCAAATTCTTCCGAGTTAGAGCAACTGCAAAACACTTGCGGCACTTGATACCCTGGCTTTAACCCAGCACGAAAACCCTTTTTCGCGAGCTGCGACATGAGGTAACTGCGATTTGGGGCGTCTGACCCAAACCGTTTTTTGGGACGCACCCAGCTGGCGCCAGCTCCCATTTCATCCGCGATATGAGACGCGGTTTGTGGGGGAAACGATTTTGGGATCGTTTTCAGTTGTCGTACCCGAGTTCGTAAAAAGGTGTCCAAAACCCCCAATTGAACTATTTGGACCCGCCCTGAGTGGCGTGTAATATCAGTAGCTATGGATGCATGGAGGCGGTGTGAGCTTACACCATAGCCGTAGGCAGCTGTCGCACGGATGATGACGTAAGGAAGGAAGGCTGAATGAACTCCGCGCGAAGGAACCTGTTCCAGGCGTACGGTTTGCTCGTTCCCTCTCTCTGCGTGTGCGGCGTTGTTTACTCCTAGATGCTCGAAACATGTTCCCGGCTATACCAGCGTCGACATTCTTTTGAAAGAGCTCCGTACGAAAGTATCCGCGTTATTGTTTGCTCGTTCCCTCTCTTTGCGTGTGCCCCCGGACGGGCGTGTTCTTCGGAAGCCTGCGTCGAACGCGTGTCAGGCTCTACCAGCGTCGATATTCTTCTGTTCGGTTGTTAGGCTTCAGAGGTCAGCGTTCGAGAGTTGGTTGGAATAGAACGGACGAGTGCGCAGTGACAGTTTCACGTGCCTCGACACGGCTTTAAGTAGCTCCAGGGGGAGCTCGGCTACACGAACCACCACTGTGGTCCAATCACGGCTCGCAGCCATGGGGATTGTCCTGGGTCGGATTAACGTCGAGACGCCGCAATTCACGGTAGAGGCGAAGACGGATAGATTCGAGATTCGACGGTACCCGCCGCAGATGGCGGCCGAAGTGACCTACGACGGCGACCACCAGGTGCGGAGAAATTATCTTACCTCTGAATAATAGTACTTACTTCATAAATTTATGTTTCCCGTCCCTTCGCAGCTATTTGTATTTTGCCTCAACACCAGACATTCTTCTCAACCTAAAAAAAAAAAAAACATGCGCTGAAGGTTTTTTTTTTTTTTTTTTTTACTTGTCCTCTTTACTGAGTTAGAAACTGCTAGTGTTTCACTAATATCTTTAAATTCACTTATTCCTCCATGCACTTCCTCCTACAGAACGGCATCAACAAGGCCTTCTCCGCACTTGCAGGGTACATCGGCGCCCTCTCAACCCCTCAGAACCGACCAGCAACTGCCAAGCCAGACAACGAAGGAGAGGGGGCTACGAGCGAGGGAGGCACAAGCGAGAGAGTCACAACCGAGGGAGGCTCAGCTCAGCCGCAGCACATTGCCATGACAGCGCCCGTGCTCACGCACACCGCAGGAGCAGCAGGGGGGGGCAGTGAAGAGAAAAAGAGCGGTTCAGGAGAGAGGATTGCCATGACGGCGCCCGTGCTCACACATACTGCAGGAGCGGCAGCAGCGGGGGGAGATAGCAATACTGTTACTGCTGCTGCTGGAGAGAAGATTGCGATGACTGCTCCCGTAGTGACAGGTAGGATCTTTTGCTTTTCACAGGAGCTTTCGCTTGATGCAGGATTTTTTGCAGGATTTCCGGCAGGATTTGTCTGCTGTCAGACGTTTCTGCGCAAGAAGCATCCCACATGCAAGCATCACACATGCAATCATCAAACATGCAAGCATCACACATGCACTCATTAAACATGCAAGCATCACACATGCAAGCATCCCACATGCAAGCATCACACATGCAAGCATCAAACATGCACGCATCAAACATGCAAGCATCACACATGCAAGCATCACACATGCAAGCATCACACATGCAAGCATCACACATGCAAGCATCACACATGCAAGCATCACACATGCAAGCATCACACATGCAAGCATCACACATGCAAGCATCACACATGCAAGCATCACACATGCAAGCATCACACATGCAAGCATCACACATGCAAGCATCACACATGCAAGCATCACACATGCAAGCATCACACATGCAAGCATCACACATGCAAGCATCACACATGCAAGCATCACACATGCAAGCATCACACATGCAAGCATCACACAGCATCACACATGCACGCATCCCACATGCAAGCATCCCACATGCAAGCATCACACATGCAAGCGTCACACATGCAAGCATCACACATGCAAGCATCACACATGCAAGCACCACATGCGAGCATCCCAAATGCAATTGTCGCACATGCAAGCATCACATGCAAGCGTCGCACATGCAAGCATCACACGTGCAAGCATAGCAGCTACGTCTCATCACATAATCACCACTTCCCCCTGCTCCCCTTCCCCTTCCCCTTCCCCTTCTCTTCCCCTTCCCCTTCCCCTTCCCCTTCCCCTTCCCCCTCCCCTTCCCCTTCTCCTTCCCCCTCCCCTTCCACTCCCCCCTGCTCCCCTTCCCCCTCCCCCTCCCCTTCCCGCTCCCCTTCCCCCTCCCCTTCCCCATTCGTATCCCCTACCCCTCCCCCGCCCCTTCCCCGTCCCTCTTCCCATCCCCTCCCCCGTGCCCCTCGCCTTCCCCTTCCCGCTTTCCCTTTCCACCCTCCACACCCGCCTCCCCAGGCAAGCATCACACAGCCAAGCATTACACATGCCAAGTCCACGATGCAGTTTCTGCTGCCAGCGGCCCTCACCCTGGCCAACACACGTATCCCCACTCGCACGTTCAGGAACCACTCTCTTTCGCACGTTCAGAAGTTCTCCAGCTGCCACCTCGTCTCCTGGGTGCCGTCCTTACATGCTCCTCTGTTCTTTCCTTCCCACTTTGGCCCTCTTTCCAGCCTCCACGGCCACCTCCCCAGACAAGACCACCATGCAGTTCCTGCTGCCAGCGGCCCTCACCCCGGCCAGCACGCCCGTCCCCACCAACCCAGCAGTGCGAGTGCTTCAGCTGCCCCCTCGCCTCCTGGGTGGCCCTCACATTTCTCCTCTCCAATTTCCCACTTTCCCTTACCCCCCTCCCCAGCCTCCACGGCCGCCTCTACTCCAGGCAAGACCACGATGCAGTTCCTGCTACCAGCGGCCCTCACCCCGGCCAGCACGCCCGTCCCCACCAACCCAGCTGTGCAAGTGCTTCAGCTGCCGCCTCGCCTCCTGGCTGCCGTTACTTTCTCTGGCCTCACAACACACTCCGTGCTCGAGCACAAGTCCCAGGAGCTGAGGAGCGCGCTTGAAGCGGCTGGGTATAGAATTGGTGGGGATTATGTGGTTGGGAGGTACAACCCGCCATTCACCCTTCCGTTTATGAGGACGAATGAGATTCTGTATCCAGTGGAAGAGTAATTCTGTGGACTCCGCTGTCTGTAGGCATTGTGTGAATTGTGGCTAGGATAAGCGTCTTAGAAACTTAGGAGGCTAGGTCCCTAAAGTTAGGACACTAGCTTAGCTAGGATACTAGGAAGGCCGCCATAGAATGGCGTGAGGAATATGGATCTAGGAGGGGAGAGAAAGTCGAGAAGAAAGAGGGTTGGATTAGGAAGGAAGAGAGGTACAAGGAGGGGATTGTACCCTCTAGAGAAAGGTTCAGTAACAACCTACCAAGCCTATATTAAATTATAACTAGATAATTTTAACACACCCCCTAGGCTTGGTAGTCACACACCCACCCAACCCACCCCCTAACCCCGCACACCCTCAAGCTCGTGCTTAGCCGGGTATCTGACCCTCGTGCAAAGCGTTGACACACCCCCGTACACAAGGCAGCCGACGGCGTCTGGGCGGGTCAGCGACAAACAGCAGCGGGGCTCTGGCTCAAGGCGGCTGGGTCGCTGACGACAGGCGGCGACAGCCGCGGCCGAGGGCTCTCGGCGGTGTGGCAACGTCCGGGCAGAAGACAGCAGCTGCGACAGGAGGAAGGGAAGACGCAGGGGTGAAGGGAGAATAGGGCGGGGGGGGGGGGGGCGGGGCGGGGTGGGTCTTCAGCGTCGCACCATAAATGGCGCGGCGCTTACTGGCAGGACGACGGCGTCCTGAGGGACGCCCGTGGCTGGCGAGCGGGTGGCAGGCCCGGCGACGCCAACGACGTCGCTTGGCCGGCCGCAGACGAAAGACGCCATCGACTGCCCTAGACGCCGCCACAGCGCACCGTCAATGCCGCAGCAGCGAGGCGGACGGGCGACGGCTGCACCAAGGGGCCGTCGCGACATCTTGGCGCCGCGACGGCAGGCAACAAGGGGCCGTCGCGACATCTTGGTGCCGCGACGGCAGGCAGGCAGAAAACCGCGAAGGCTGCGAATGCAGCAGGAGTACGCAACGGGAACGTAGAGAGAGGGTCCGGTGGACACGACCGGCTCTGATACCATCTTAGAAACTTAGGAGGCTAGGTCCCTAAAGTTAGGACACTAGCTTAGCTAGGATACTAGGAAGGCCGCCATAGAATGGCGTGAGGAATATGGATCTAGGAGGGGAGAGAAAGTCGAGAAGAAAGAGTGTTGGATTAGGAAGGAAGAGAGGTACAAGGAGGGGATTGTACCCTCTAGAGAAAGGTTCAGTAACAACCTACCAAGCCTATATTAAATATAACTTATATAATTTTAACAAAGCGCCCTCTTTGACAAGGGAATGGAATGTAATACCCAAAAAAAGAAAAAAAGAAAAAAAAAGAGACTCACTCTCGCGTGCAGGAACCACTTTCTTTCCGATCGTCTTTCAGCGCATACAGAATCTCATGCGGAACCACGGATAGAACCACGGAATCGTGAACGGGTCGTTGTATGGAGCCAGCAAATACTTCCCTGCACTTCCATACCCTGCTTTCTCCAATGCCATTTTCAGCTCCTGGGACTTGAGAATGCCCCAACACCGAGTGAGTGGCGAGACCTGAGAATGTGAGAGCACCCATGAGGCGGGGCGGCAGCTAGTGCACTCTTGCATGCTCATGAGCCGCTCTCCTTTCTACTACCCTCTTTCAGCGGATACAAGATCTCATTCGTGCGAAACCACGGAATGGTGAACGGGTCATTGTATCGAGCGAGCACATACTGCCCTGCAATGCCGTACCCGGCTTTCTCCAGCGCACTCCTCAGCTCCTGCGATCTCTGCTGCAGCACCGAGTCAGTCGTGAGGCCAGAGAATGTGAGAGCACCAATCAGGCGAGCAGGCAGCTGGTGCACTCTCACTGCTGGGTTGGTGGGGACGGGGGTGTTGTCTGGTGTGAAGGACGCTGGTAACAGAAACTGCATCGTGGTTTTGCTTGAAGCTGTTGATTCGGAGGCTGCTGTCTCCGCTTCTGCTGCTGCCGCAGGGGCTGTTACCACTTCTGTAATCACAGGAGCAGTCATGGCTATTTTCTGTGGCCCGCCACCACCATCAGCGGCAGCAGCAGCAGCATCAGCGGCACGGGTTTCTGTGATCACCGGTGCAGTCATTGCAATTTTCTGCCGCTCTTCCCCTCCCGTCCCCCCCCCTGCCACCTCTGTCCCAGGAACAGCTATCATGTTCTCAGCTGGACCCAGCACACCTATGTAGCCTGCCAGGGCAAAAAACCCGCTTCTCGACCCGACACGCTGGGAGGAAGGGAGGAGAAAGGGGGTTGTGAGAGGTAAGAGGGGAGCGAGTTGAAAAGACAGCAGCACCTCCGCTGCTCTCTGCTAGACCCAGCACCCCTATGTAGCCTGCCAGGGCGAAGAACCCAGTTCTGGAACCAACACGTTGAGGGAAGAGGGGAATTGGCCGGAAGTTGATGGAAGCCATAAATCATCACGGAATAATGTGAGCTAAAATTCAGGAGAAGAAAATGTATTTGAAAATTTTAATAATTATCTAGACTGATTGAGAAACAAATAGAGCTCTACAATGCCGAAAACCACGTCACGCTCACAAGGCCAGTCAATCGCCGCAAGGGCTCTGACGAACGGCGAAGATAATCGAGGAAAAATAATCGTCACCTCAAAGTGGCCGTCGCCTTAGGTCACGTCGGCCATGTCATTTTGAGTCGAGACAAAGTACACCCGACGAACGGCGACCATAATCTGATTATCGCCATTGCTACCTGACAGAGCAGGAAGTACCGCAGCTGGATGTGCTTCGCCTTGCCCTCAAGTCGTGCCTCCTGACACAAGAGGATCATGGCCCTGTTGTCAGCAAACAGGACCGGGGCAGACCTAGGTTGCTCATTTAAGTCAATGAGCAAGAACGACAGCTAGCGGAGCTCCTAAGCGGCCATGGCCCCAGCGTAGATCTCTGCCTCACAGCTGGACTGAGCTACAGACGACAACCTACCGGACCTCCAAGAGACTGCACCAGCACCAAGACGAAAGCAGTAGCCCTGAGACGACCTGAGCGTCTCCAAGTCGTCTGCCCACGACGCGTCTGTGTGTCCAGTGAGAACCACTGGCTCCCGTCCTCCTAGCACAAGCCCCAGTCGTGATGTGCTCGCCAGATAACGCAGTAACCTTTTGGAAGCCGACCAGTGGACTGGTCGGTGCCTGCCTGTCGCGACAAATCGAGCCATGAGACTGAGAGAGTACGCTAGATCTGGTCGAGTGCAGGTCATCAGGTACATGAGGCACCCCACCAGCTCCACCAGCTCTGCGTATGGACCACTAGCCTCGATTGGCTCAGCCGGAACAGGAGCAGAGAGCTTGTGATCCACAGGCAGGGGGGTGGGTTGTGCTGAGGAGAACTGGAGACTGAACCTCTGGAGGATCTGCTGCACCATATGAGACTGTGAGAGTGTGATCATGCGAGCGACACGGTCACGAAAGATCTCCAAGCCCAGATAGCGTCTCAGCTCTCCCAAGTCTGTACATGTGTGTCTCCTAAGTAACTTGGCCTTCACTGAGGCCAGTGCAACTCTGTCGGGAGTAGCAAAGATAAGATCGTCTACGTACACTAGAATGTAGAACGGTGTCTGACCCGTGCGAACAAAGAGAGAGGTCCGCAGAGGACGGAAAGAACTGCAGCTCAGCAAAAGTGGTGCGAAGCGTGTCGTGCCACTCACGGGGTGCCTGACGAAAGGCCGTAGACAGGACGGTGCAGGCTCCACTGGGTCCCAGGTGGGAAGGACCCAGAGAAGCGTAGAGGGCGCCGGAGGTAGATCTGCTCGTGCAGACTACCGTGCAGGAACGCTGTGGAGAAGTCGAGTGAGTGAAGCTCGTAGTCACGCTTTACGGCTATGTGAAGAAGGACCCGAAGAGTAGTCATCTTCGGGGTCGGAGAGAAGGTCTGGAAGAAGTCCACACCCTCACGCTGACTGAAGCCTCTAGCCACGTAACGCGCCTTGAACTTTGGTGGCTCTCTAGGTGCGCGCTGCACCGTGTAGATCCACATGCCATTGACTACGTTCACCCCAGGCGGGGGAACTGCGCCGACGTAGGTGCCTGTCGATCTGTAGGATGCCATCTCAGTCTCCATGGCCTGTATCCACTGGGCTGCCTAGGGCCCCGACACCGCCTCAGCGTAAGAGCGCGGAACAGGGATGTCGAGATCGTCTGGGTCGCCCTCTGGGAATACAAGCATGGAGCAGAGATGGGGAATAGCAGCAGCAAGGTAGGCCAACTCGTACTACCTGTCCTCTAGCACGTCACTGCCAAGGGCAGGTGCACCCCCGACGGATGGAGGACGGACAGTACCAGAGGCCAGAGCGGCAGCGTAGTCAAGGCGGTGGCTAGCAGCAAAGGCAGCAATAGCAGTGACCAGCGTGGAGACAGACTCAGGAGGAGCAGTAGGGTCAATGACAAGCGATGCAAGCAAGCGCGAGAGGGTAGGACGAGCAGTGCGAACACCGTCAGAGCGAGGAGGGGGGGACGACAGTAGCGACGACGGAGGAGGCAACGGGAGGAATGTGACGGGAGGAGCACGCGAACGAAGAAGCATAGGGTGGACTCTAGGACGGGGAGAGACAGGACGAGCACCAGAGGGGCGACGGACCCAGTGGGGAAGAACTGGGGACTAGGGACGAGGGGGGTGGGGGACAAGTCAGGGGACGGAGGGGAGCGCAGGGGGAAACGAGCCAGAGAGGAGTCCGGAGAAGGAAACAACGGGCCGTAAACAAGGTCACGCACCGGAGGGGGAACGGGCGGGCTGACAGGGGAACTTGGAGCAAGACCAAGGAGACGAAGGGCAGACTGCGGCGGCTGTACCTGCTGCTGCTGCTGCTGCGGCTGAAACTGCTCCCTGTCCGCTCCAGGACCTCCAGCGGCACCGCAGTTGCCACCGGTATGCTGCGAAACAGCACCCCCAAGACTAGCACCCTCGGTCTCACCACGTACAGAACCAGCACCCCTGGAGTTAGCACCCCCAGAACCAGCACCCCCAGAGCCCACTGCTCCCTGCTGCTGCTGTTGCGGTCGTGGAGTCTGCTGCGGCGACGGCTGCTGCTGCTGAGGCACAAGACCAGGCGGCTGAGGAGCCTGGGGGACCGAGGCTGGGGGAGGTGCCACAGGGATAGCAGGCACACCCCCAGCAGCTGGGCCCCCAGAGTCAGCCGACTCCCCCACAGTGGGAACCGAGGGGAACTGAGTGGCGTGGGAGACACCAGACTGGGCCGGGCGGGATGGGTGGGGTGCGGCAGGTGGGGCAGAGGCAAGGAAGAGAGGAGGAGGAGGCACAGGAGCGCTGCGGTGCGGGAAGCGTCGGTAATAGGGGAGCGACTCGTCGAAGGTGACATCACGAGAGTGGTAAAAACGGTGGTGTGAGGGGTGGTAGAACAGCCAGTGTGAGGCGTCAAACGGAAACCCCAAGAAGACACAAGGAAGAGTGCGGACTAAGTGCTTGTCCGTGGCAGTGTCGCGGACGTGAGCAAGGCTGCCCCAGACGTGGAACGCAGACGCGTTACCAGGAGACCCGGTCCAGAGGAGGGTCGGCGAAACATTTGGTCGTTGAGAGCGCTGCCACAGGTTAAAGCCCGCGGCCCAAATTGCGAGGCGCGATCTTCAAACGTAGTGCGTTGGAAAGATTTCGTTTTCGTGGGTGTATTGGGGGGTAACGAGACTCTCGTCACTCAGGGGTGCCTTTCAAGTTCAGTGCGGAAGGTAATTTGGAACACTAGGTGGCGAGCGTTTTTCAACCGTCCAGTTTTTCTAGAATTTCATCTGACGGCGAGTAAGCCAAGCACTTCCCCCAGTCAGTCGAAAGGCAATCTCATCCATCAAACAGTGTGTTTGTAAATCCGACGGTTCACGACAAGCGATGAATTTGCGAGAGTAAACGACCTCGCGATTTCCAACGTATTTCGTATAGCCTGAGGGTCAAACTTCATACGCAGTGCGTTTGAATAATTTGGGCTGCGGGTTTTAAGCTGGTGAGTAGTGTAGCGCACGGCGAACGGCCACAGAAAATGGGGTGCACCGGCGTGGACCATGGAGGTGCGAGCCACCTGCATCATCAGGCCGATGTGTCGCTCAGCGACCCCATTCTACTGTGGGGAGTCCGGCAGTGTGTACGTATGGCGGATAACCTCCGCACGACAGAACCGTCCTAGAGAGCCAGAGGCGAACTCGCCACCGTGGTCAGAGTGTAAGCGACCTACAGGCTGGGCGGTGCGAACGGTGAGAAGCCACGGGAGGAGAACGGTCAGCACGTCGGCCTTCCGCTCCAACGGGAACACTGTGGTGAACCGCGAGAAGTCGTCAACGACGACTAGGAAGTAGCGCTCCCGACTGAGACCATGGACTGGGGCAGGGCCCCAAACGTCCATGTGCAGTGTCTGTAGCGGTGCTGTGGTAGGAGGAAACAAGGAGGAGTGAGGGGCGGCGCGCTGCCGGCCCTCGACGCAGGAGGTGCACAGTGGCGCTACCGATAGAGGCAGGGCGGGGAGCGACGCAGGGAGACCAGTGACTAGACCGTGCTGGGACATGTGCCTAAGACGCGGGAGTGCAGGGTGACCTAAGCGGTGGTGCCACAGAAGGGTCGGGTGGGCTAGTGAGCGATAGGAGCAGGACGCGGCAACCTCAGCACACGCAGCAGTGGGCGGGGACTTAGTGTGAAGGGTAAAGAGACCTGATCCAGGGTCACGCTCAAAGGTAGCGAAGTGTCGACCAGTGACTGTGTCTGTGCAAGCAGCGTGTCTCTCGCGGCTAGGGAACGTAGTGGTGACGCATCGGTCCTGGAGGTGACCGACACCCACTATGTTCCTAGCAAACGAGGGGATGTGCAGACCTGTGAGGGAGCCGGAAGGGACAGCTGGACAAGGGAGAGTGGTGGTGCTACGTGCGACAGCTGTGGCGGAGGAGTCTGCTAGTGCGACGCGGACAGGCGCAGGAAGCGGGGTGAGAGCAGTACTTTCTC